ACAAATAAAAATTTGCATTTCAATAGCACCAATAATGCAATAAAACATCCCAAAGTGCTTCACAGTTATAAAGTAGAACGTGACACTTGGCCACAGAAGGCAATATTGGGACAGAACATTAAGAGAAAGTCAAAAGATGCTAAATGTATGCCTGAAAGGAGGAAAGCAAGATTAGAGCAAGACAGGGGGAAATTCAGGGATAGAAAATTCTCAATACAAATGGTGCAATGATTAAAGTTGGTGATGCTTAAGAGGCCATAACTAGAGGACTAGTGACATGGAAAGTATTCAGCTTGGAGCTCGGTGACCAGTGGTGTTCCGCAGGGATCTGTTCTGGGACCTCTGCTCTTTGTGATCTTTATAAATGACTTGGATGAGGAAGTGAAGGGGTGGGTTATTAAGTTTGCCAATGACACGAAGGTTGGAGGAGTTGTGGGCAGCGTGGTGGGCTGTTGTAGGTTGCAACTGGACATTGACAGGATGCAGAGCTGGGCAAGGAAGTGGCAGATGGAATTCAACCTGGAAAAGTGTGAAGTGATCCATTTTGGAAGGTCGAATTTGAATGCAGAATACAGGGTTAATGGCAGGATTCTCGGCAGTGTGGAGGAACAGAGGGATCTTGGGGTCCACGTCCATAGATTCCTCAAAGTTGCTTCCCTAGTTGATAGGGTTGTAAAGAAGGCATATGGTATGTTGGCTTTCATTGGCAGGGGAATTGAGTTTAAGAGCCGTAAGGTTATGCTGCAGCTCTGTAAAACTCTGATTAGACCACACTTGGAATATTGTGTTCAGTTCTGGTTACCTCATTATTGGAAAGATGTGGAAGCTTTAGAGAGGGTGCAGAGGAGATTCACCAGGATGCTGCCTGGACTGGAGGGGAGGTCTTATGAGGAAAGGTTGAGGGAGCTAGGGCTTTTTTCATTGGAGCGAAGGATGATGAGAGGTGACTTGATAGAGGTGTACAAGATGATGAGAGGCATAGACAAAGTGGATAGTCAGAGACTTTATCCCAGGGCAGAAATGACTATTACGAGGGGGCATAATTTTAAGGTGATTGTTGGAAGGGGAGATGTCAAAGGTAGGTTCTTTACACAGAGAGCGGTGGGAGTGTGTGGAATGCGCTGCCGGCAGTGATAGTGGAGTCAAATACTTTTGAGACTTCTGAGCGACTCTTGGATAGGCACATGGAGGATAGTAAATTGTAGGGTATGCAGGGTAGTTTGATCTTAGTAGGATAATAGATCAGCACAACATCATGGGCCAAAGGGCCTGTACTGTGCTGTACTGTTCTATGTTCTATGTTCTATGGCAGGGCCAGAATTTATTGACCACTCATTGCTGCCCATGAACAGATGGTGTGAGTTGCCTTCTTGAACTGCTACAGTCCATACCTGCAGGTGGACCTACATGACATTGGGGAGAAAGTTCCAGAATTTGACCCAGCAACACAAAAGAAATGGCAATCTATTTGCAAGATAGGTCGGTGAGTGAGTTGGACAGGAATTTGGTGGTGTTCTCATGTATATGCTGCCCAGATGCAAGTGGTCATGGGTTCGGCTGTTTAAGAAGTCTTGGTGAATTTCTGCAATGCATCCTGTAGATGGTACACATTGCTACTAACCGTTAGGGGTCGAGTGAGTGGTTGTTTGTGGATGTTATGCCAATCAAGTGGGCCTGCTTTGTCCTGGATGGTGTCAAGCTTCTTCAATGTTGTTGCAGCTTCATTCATCCAGGCAAGTGGGGAGTATTCCATCACACCCCTGACTTGCACCTTGTAAATGGTGGATAGGTTTTAGGGAATAAGTGGTGAGTTACTCACTGCAAGATTCCTAGTACCTCATCTACTCTTATAGTTAGTGGGTAGCCTAGTTCAGTTTTTGGTCAACGGTAACTTCCGGGATGTCGATAGTGGGGAATTCCGTATTGTAATGTTCTCTATTGTCAAAGATGGTCACTGCCTGTTGCTTGTAGGTTACTTGCCTCTTGTCAGCCAAGCCTGAATATTGTCCAGGTTTTCCTGTATTTTGGGTGTGGACTGCTTCAGTTGCAAATGGTGCTGAATATTGTTCAATCACTTCCGACCTTATGATGGACAGAAGGTCATTGACGACGCAGCTGAAATATTTGAATCAAAGGAACTTGCTGGAAATGTTTTTTTGAAGCGATAACAGAGAGGATTGATGAAGGCAATGCTGTTGATGGTGCATACATTGACTTCCAGAAGGTATGTGATATAGTGTTTCACAGCAGACGTGTGAGCAAATTTATAGCTTATGGAATAAGAGGGACACTTACGCATCATTATCAACAGCTGGAGGAACAAAATCTCCCTGACAGGAAGGAATTGACTTGAAAAAGAAATGGTTAAATTGTGCTAAATTAATTATTGTAGTGATCAGTAAAAGCACAAATATTCAGGGAGGGCTAGGAGAGCACAGTGCTCTTATCTGAAGGAGAACCAAATGATAAATTTAACATTATTTCAAGAATTTTTGGTAAAGACTGATTAAGTTCTAGCCACTGATTATATACACAACTGACAATCCAGTGTCTTCTACACAAATTAGTCAATAAACTTCCAAGGGGACTCTGCTTTAGTAAAGTGTTCAGTCATGCCTTGAATGGCTGATCCAAAGAGGGCAATGATGAAAAATTGCAACAGTATTTCACACATGAGAATAAAGTGAGTGTAAATCAAGTCCACCTTCTTCAGAAGGTAGAGTTATTGTTCTGACAAGGCTTAAAGCGAGATTTAAGAGAGCAGTGGAAGGGGAAAATGTACCTTCCTTTGATCAATAGCTACAAAAGTGGTTAAATGGCTGTGTCCAATTCCACAGTGCCAAAACAACTGAGATTTTATGGATTATCAGATAATGATGTTGATATCAGATAATGATACTCAGTTTCTGGGCGAAGGGTTGAAAATATTTCTGAGCAAGACAGTTCTGGAGGCTTTTTTGATCCAGTCTTGCAATGCAGTCCCATTACAAATGCTTGACACAGTCACACTTTCACTGGTGAATTTAGCTCAGCAGGCGTTGTTTATCAGTATATATGAATAATTTTAGGAATATATATCTTCCTCATGTTATAGGATTCAAGAGTACGGTACACAGTGCTTGAAGGTGTAAAGATTGCTCAGTCAGCTTGGCGAGGAGAGGGCATAGGTGATATGGAAGACCATGATGTGAATATGGGTTGTTAGGGTTAGGGGGTCTCTCACAGATATAGAACTAAGCAGATATCCCAGTGTGCAGAAGGGGTCCCGACTGCCTCGCTAGCCACTTGTCCCCATTTCCGGTTCTGTCCTGCTTCAGTCGGTAACAATCCCAATGCTACAGCGTTAAAAAAAAGCTGCGTGTGGGCACGCCATATGGGTGGCAAGATCACAATGTTGGGAAATGGCTTAAATTCTGATTACTGCCTCAAAGAGATAATTCCAATCCCTAGTTATATGAAAAACACTTTAAGTTATGTCTTGAAACTTGCTACTTTTTGTGAATATTACAGTTATAAAACTACACATTGTAGGAATGTCATAAAATTAACAAAAAATATTATTTTAAATAAGATGCTTTAAAATTTCAGTTTGGGTTTTGTCTTTTTGTGAATTTCAACTTCAAATAGTCATTTACTATTTTGCCGCTACTCTTCAGAAGTTTGGAACATTTCCAAGTTCTGTTTCCAGTGTGCTATCGACTGATACCAAAGCGTAATGTAATCTTCAAAATAATCACGAGTCAGATGCTACAAACTAGCTGGACCTCTTGTTTCAGCAACTCAGTTACATTTTAACATTTTAAAGCAATGTTCAGATAATTATGAAGGATCAACAACAGAGATTATAAACGGATTCATCCAGATATTGTTCCAGATCACTAAATACCCATCATTGTAGTCTTTACAACTTTGAGAAAGCCCTATTCACATCCTGAAATTCATAACGGTACAGAAAGACCCCTGAAATAATTGGCCACACAGAATCCCACAAGTACCATTAAAATACCTAATGTATGCTTGCACACCTGAACAGAAAGTGAACGGATGCCTGTGCAATTTGTGACAATAGAATGTATCTGTAAACAGTATAACAATTGCAAACAGCAACTTTAATACCAATTAATTGATGATTTACACCAATTAATTATCAGAATGAAACAGCTTAAAATTAATGCTTTGAAGGCTTACTTTAAATAAATAGCAGAACCAAAGTTTAAATAATTAAATAAGTATTTTGATTATGTGACAAATTTAATAACATTTTAGTTGCTTGATTTTAAGTTTCTTATATATTGTTTGCAGAATAACTTAATGAATTTAAGTTTGCAAAATGAAAAATGGATAAAACACAACACACTGGTCCAGATCTGGAGTGGAATACATCTTGCTGAGTTTCTTCAACTGGTTTGTTAGCAATTCGTTCCACTGGGGCAAGCTATAAAAGTCATACGTTGTATTATTAATTTAGCCCAGATTATCTCTTGATACAGGACACACTGCATTTGTTGCATTGGGCTAAAGAAACATTATCCCTTAGACTTCCTAACTTTAAATTGACAATTAATTGTCAATTTAATGTGTGACATATAACTTCACAAGGACAGGTTTGTCTTCTATCCTAATAGCTTAAGTTGATTTGAGGAACTGAATCCAATGAACTCCAAAATGCAACAAAGAACAATTGAAAAATGCTGAATGCACTTGAAGTTATTTCAACAGAACGCAGACCACAAACAAAGAACTTACAATGACAGCCAAAGACAACTTTTGTTTCAGATTCAGGTTCCTTATTATTTTGCAGTGGATCTTAGCACTAATGTGAATATTAAAGCTTTGAACTTTATTTTAAATCAGGACATCCCATTTCCAGGTGAAGGCTCCTTTGCTGCCAACGAGTGCCCTACAGATCTGAAATAGTACACAAGACAGACAAACACATCACACATCTGAGGGATACAGACAAAGACAATTATAGACTGCTGCAGATAAATAACTAAGTGTCAGACCTAAAAAGTACAAAGGAGAAAGAGTCAAAAAAAAGAGTGATTATAAAGGAGTCAATTTATAATTTGGGCTTTATCCAATTTTATCAAATTTACAATGCCCCTTCAAGTAAGAATTTAAACAAGCAATCTTCAACAGTGCTAATTTTGCAAGCCTGTAAATTACAACTAAAAATGTAAATGCAACTGTCACCTCTGAACAAATTAAAAGACTTTTGGAACCTATGCAAAAAACAGGGAAATTTAAAGAAGCTGCAGTGGTGTGTAGCTACTACTGCTGACAATCACGAAATCCTAGCACCAAAGACCATAAGAAGGCCGTCATTCTGTTAAACTGCTGCAAGGATACCTTAACCAATTAGTTAAACATTAAACCTCTTTGCGATGTTCATAAAACATCTATGAAAAAACAAAGCATTTAGACCTATGTATGACCAAATGGAGAAATAAGTTTTTTACCTCTCCTTCAATTGTGAACATAGAACATCAAACATAGAACAGTACAGCATAGCCCACAATGTTGTGCCGACCTATTATTCTCCTCTAAAATCAAACTACCCTGCATGCCCTACATTTTACTATCATCCATGTGCCTATCCAAGAGTCGCTTAAATGTCCCTAATGTATCTGACTCCACTACCACCGCCGGTAGCGCATTCCACGCACCCACCACTCTCTGTAAAGAACTTACCTCTGACATCTCCCCTCTACCTTCCTCCAATCACCTTAAAATTATGCCACCTCATAATAGTCATTTAGT